AAATCTCCCCGCAAGCTGGCAAATCGGACTTCCAGCTTTTTGAGCTTTACTGGACAAAGTGAAAGATTCTCTGTGCAGGAATAGGATAAACCCATAATTCACAAAACCTCTTTTTACCGTAATTTCATATTGAAAATAGTCTTTACAAATCACGGATCTACCTCGTGATTATACCGCGTCTTACGAGTTATCACTTTTGCGTTTGTTGCGAGGAAACCGCGCTCGTTAGCCGAAAGGATCCCTAAGGATATTTGTTTAAGCACCGAGACCACAGCGTCCCCCCACAAATTCCTGTGGGATTTACACTTTCGAGAGTTCTCGTATATTTTCATGACTCGTCGCCTTTCGCATTGAGCTTTTGTCGATTCTCCTGAAAATTGTTGCATCAAGTGCGAGATAAGGCTCTGTTTCCTAGTTGATAAATCTTTTCACAAGATGAATTCATATTTATAATTTTTAATGACTAATTCATTGTTACTCTAAAATTTACAGATATTCATTTCAAAATCTAATATATCCTCAACTTACAAATAAAGAAAACTATTTATAGAAGTAAGGAACAACAAGGAAGCAATAGATTTTCAGAGTCCAACACAATACGAGTTAGGAATCGTTTCGCCTCTACTTTGAGTCATTTTCAGCGAAGCGATGACAAATTAAATAGATAATCTCACACTGTCTGATGAGCAATAGATAAATATTTCGAGATTGAATAAACAAAGATTGCAAAAATCCAGTCCAGAAAAATTTACAAATTGCCTAAAAAGTTTCCAGTAAATACATCAAGACGAAAATTGACGTAATTCTCAAATGGCAATAATTGAAACAATGATACAATTAAAAACCGAATTCGAATTTAAATGACATATGATTCGTCCAGCTGACGGAAACGTAGCCAATGCCGAGTTAGCTTTACCGAAAATGATTCCACATAAAGCCAAAACGAATCACAACTTGTACCGAAGTGTTAACTAAATGTTACATAACGTTTATTCACGCACAAACTAATCACGTTTGATCTTCAAAGCCCACTTTTTCCTCGTTACTGATTAATTTTAACACCGAGAGTCTTTAGTTAATTACGCATAAAAGTATCTGATTATACAAATTTAATTATATAAAATAAAAGTAAAATTTCCTACAAATTTTATTTCCCTCCATTCGTGCTGTTTATCTAGATATACCGAGTTACAATAAAAATATCTCTACATAACGAAACTCACTATAATATTTTGTATACACCCAACAACAAGATATTAAAATAGAGAACAATTTATCACCCCTTTCCTGCTCGTGCGGCTTACTGTCCGCGTGAGAAAAAATGGACAGTGCCTGAAAAGGGTGCAAAACCGCACGCAGACGTAATTTTAAAGTCCGCGACACGATCCTGAAATAAATGCCGCGGTGCGTCGCATAATTGCCGAGGTGTTCCCCGCGCCGTAAAAATGGTGGTCGCGTCGCGAGAAACGACCCGTGAACCGAATAAACGACCGCTGTTCCCCATTTCTCGATCGTAGTCCGCGTTTAAACTCAGCGACGCAAAACTTCCGCTCGGCGGGATATCCTCCCACGTCACTCAAAAATACACGGCGGCGAGCACCGCTCGCGGCGCACACGGACCGACTAAACAAACCCTGGGTGTAGATTTATAGACGGGCGACATTCCGTTGGGAAATCAACATCGTCTACGCTTTCAGCGATCTCGCGAAGGAGAGCGAAAACTTTTCAAGTTTTCATTGACGACAGTGTCGCTACGCCAAAAGAAAGACAGGCGGAAAGGCAGGCAGACAGATAGACAGATAGATGGAAAGAAAAAGAGAGAAAGAGAGAGTGCAAATATTACATTATTTATCGGACCCTTAATTTTTTTATGCTAGCTAACACTAATATCTTGAGTAGTTTTTTTTTTTCAAAAAACGTATGCAGTTATAATCTAATTAGTATACTACAGGCTAAATAATATTGTCATACATTTAGCCAAATAATAAATTATAAAATCAAGGCATTAAAATAGATTGTGAATACTATTATTTTCTTTCTTTTATAGCGCGTGTTTACGCGTTATTTTCATTAATCACTTATATTAGTGTAACGTCTATTTTGCTTCATTATATAAATCAACACAAATACGTTTATTAATTAATCAACGCGAGGTAATGTATTCTCGAAGCAAATATTATCATCCGAAGAGAAGGGTAGTCAATCGACTTGATCTCATCGCCTCGGGTTTCAGCCAACATTAAAATTTCAAGCTGCCACTACTTCCCATGGGGGATGAAATGCGGCGAACGCGCACTAGCTGCAATTTAACCACGTGCAGCAACCTCTCAAATTTTCACCTCGCCAGAGCGTCGGATGTTTTGCAGCTTTTTACCTCATTGCTGCTATTCTTTGTTTTTGCATTTTATGTAAGCAATGATAAAAAATTGTAACACCAATTTTCTGACACGATTGTCGTCAGAAATTTCTCCATTTTTCCCTATCATACTGATCTCGAAAATATAATTGAAAGATAGTAATATCTATAAAAGATATTGTGAAAGTCAAGATATGCCTAATAAAATAACTTAAATATTAAAGAAAAAGATTGTAGTTAAAAATACTATTAAAATACTTTCGACTGTGTTACGTAAATTTTAAAATTGCACACAAATGATCCAAAAATATTTTATTTCACTCTTGCATATCTCTTGTATATTTCTTGTAATATCTAACAATAAGTTATAGTGCCAACAATTGTTGTCCGCATGCGGCGATATGATAAACGAAAGATAGGAAAAAAAGAGATATAATATTGTAGTATCATAATAGAGAAATCATGGCACTTATTCGCACGTGCGTTTCTTAATTTTAACCCCCAGCGAACACGTTCAATAGATATTATATTATAGCGAAAAGCGAAAATACAAAAGAGAAGAAAACGGGACAGATGCACCAGGAAACATTTATTGCCAAATTTTACCTTCATGAACGTGTAATGTTATTCGAATAATATTTCTCGTTGCTTTTAGCGTGAAAAAAGTTAGATATGAATATTTGTTACTAAAATTTACTGGCAAAGTTTCACATAATAATAATGATCATACCTCACATTATTATTAATGTAAAGTCGCAGAAAAATCAAAATTATCTTCTAACAATTATTTTATATGTATATTGTTTATACATAAAAAAAACTATCTTTAAATATCAACGCACCTAAGAGGTGATCTGAACTAGATCAATTCCAGTGATACTTGAGAAATACTTTTGGTTAACTTATTTTTAAAAATTTCGTTTTTTCTTATACTAGAAATAACAAAACGCGCACTTCGCGCGCGCAGTTTGTGGTTGGGCATGTATATTTAAAACAAATTTGTATACATGCAAAGAAGTAATTGTATGCGCAACGTCAATTTAAAATAAAAAGTAATTTGTAACTCACTGATACGATTCGCAACAGCAGAGTTGTACATCGTCAACTGTATATGTTAAACTGAAAAAATACAAATATGTATATGATTATTATAGAATAATTATGTAAAATCGAAATTATTGCATTAAATATACTTTATATTTAATATTTTTCAAAATAAATATTTATTAAAATAATTATATAGAGTACTGAAAGTCTTCCTTTTAAATATAAACTCACAAAATTTTGTACGTAAGGCTTTTGTCTCTAACACTTATTCGAATCCTCGTTTGAATCATTTGAATAAATAAAATAAAAACACAGAACAGATGCTTTATTTTGCACAAGTGACAAATAACATAAAAATGTAAGACACTCACCTCACCGATTTCTCCGCTGTTGCCCGATGCCTCCCAGGGCCTGCTCCTCCTCTCAGATTTCCTTGTTGCACTTACACAACACTCACTCGCGAAAATCATCGATCGCGCGATATTTCGGACACTCCCGTACGCGATGTAAAATACCGCGAAACGCACGAAATATTATTAACAAATATCGCGTAACTTTTTGTTATACAAATTAGTTGCGAAGAACGACAGAGCAAATTACAGCGCGAACGCCGAAGTCGCGCAAATTTCTCTCTCTTCCCGAAAATGGAACAGATTACACGAAATCGACAGATAATTAAAAGCGCGATGCGTAAACGAGATGTAACTGCGACAAAGTACAACGGTTCGTATTCATATTTTAGATGAATTAGTCTCGTGAAATATCTCTGTGTACGTTGATAAAGAGCCGTCGCGTCAACACGCAATTCGTTTCTCATTACAAGTTGTAGAAACTTAATAATTACTCGAGGAACGTTACTTGTTACTGATAACGGTGCACAAATCAATAGCGTTTTATCCCTGCATTTATCGCGATCGAATCTTGAAAACCGATAACGCAAAAGTAACACCACGCACGGAGCGACTCTCGCCACTGCCTGCCGGCTCGACGTTCGGCGAGCGAGTGAGAGCGACCTTCAGGTACACGATGGCACGCAAAAACATCGTACGTCACCGCGCCGAGTGAAACGATACCGCGCCGAGTGAAAAACAACAAAAAAAACGTTGAGAATTCGTTGGCCTGTCTACGCAATGGAAAATTCCGTACTTAATATTTTATTGTACATTACTTTGTTCCGTGACTGTTGCTACGTTTTGCGTATTATTCCGCGGACTTATTGGTATTAATTAAATTAACGATTAATTCTGTTCAATCGAGACAATATTTCGAAACAAAGATCGTTGTTACTTAAGTTCTAATTACTAAGATTAGAGATTTTTTCTCAATGGTTGGTGTATACAAATGTATATGTATTTCTAAATTGCAAATATTCATTTGCTATGAATCTAATTGTAAGAGCAGTGAGGCACACACCGCGCTTCGAGGAAACCAATCGGCATCGCGGAAAAGAGGCCTCAACTGTTCGATATTAACGACATTCGCGCTGGTAACATCTCTTTTTTAGATAGGGAGAAGAAATCTTGTTGCGTAACAAGACTAATTCTAAGTAAAACAAATTTGAAGCTGTATCAACGTATCGATGTTTTTATATTTGCAGTGTTCAGGTGCAGCTTCGGGCGACTTTTCGGAACGAGTGGCAGCGCTTCTACAATCATCCTCAACTCAGGACGACTGCTAGTAGTGCGCTCCATAGCACGTGACGGCCCTTTCTTCCCTGGTCCAGCATGTCGACGGAAGGAAGGAAGAGGAGGGAGGTATCATCCAAGGGGAGAAATGATCCGACGCACGCGGCGTGTTCTAAATGATTTTTGTCGAGCTAATCTATAAGCTTTAAAACACGTTCCGAGGCAGCGTCTCTACTTTAGGCTTAAGACTCACTCTCTTTTTTTCGCGCGGCGACAGTGGAACACATGGAAATGTCGCAGAGACGAAAATTGTCAGAGCCAAACGCGACTTTCACGAGACTTCGCGTAGAGACGGAAGTGGTTCCCTCTCGAGACTCTTCACTTTATATTATTTTCATAAGAAAAGTATTCCCGCCCCCGCATCGATATCGTTACTTGCAAAACTTTTAACACGGCAAATTATTTGCGCAACGCGCCACACAATTGTAAGCACCGCAAGATTGTTGTGCAAAAATTAAATTCTTTATTTTTATAAAAAAAAATTAACATTCTTAGACGAGCATGATTAAATACGAGCCATTTCGTAATTTGTGTGTCGAGCCATCAAATGCTTCATCTAAAAGCGTTATTTATTTCATCTTAATTAGAAGAGGTACTTAAAAATCTGCGAGAGTTCAACATATAATTGGCAACTCACCCTGTGCGCGCCATTTAAGAAAAAATAAACCGATGGCCTCGTACTACAAATGCAAACAAATTTCGCGGAAATTCCCTTGTAATAGAATTCTATGTAGCCCGCGACATAGCTAACACTCGTATCCATGTATCTACAACATCGCGTAACAAGGTTTACGAGTGCGAGGCGCGCGAGGGTAATGTCCAGTCAGAGTTTTCTGCCGTCGGAAAAGCGACGAGTGCGTGGATGGTGTGCGCGCGCGCGCGTTTGTCTGTATGTGTGCGCGGAGAGGCCGGGAAATGTGAGAGATAGTTTCGAGAGCATGGCGGGTGGGGTGTCGGAGTAGCGGTGATCTTCCTGGTGAGGGCGCGGGCGTTAAATTTCCAGATAGCCCCGGCAAATAAGTGCCACGTAGATAAGCGCGGAAAAACCATGCCAACCTGGGGGTTAGGGAAACGGGTAGAGCGAGGGGGTACTTACGGATACTGGAAAAAGCGAAGAGAGAGCCACGCCGTGAAAACGGGCGCGATAATGGCGCGGAAATGGTGTCGGCATACGTAGCGAAAAGAAAGGGCGACGCCGAAATTACGAGTCACCCGGCACGGGAGGTCTTCAGAATTAGGATCGTATCCGGGCGAAATCGGTTCGTGACGAGTCAAAAAAGTTATCATCTCGAAAAGGGACAGTTAATTATAAGTAGCGGCGTTAATTTCAAAAATTTATACAGCAACAGATGAAGATAAAAGAGAGGAGTGTGTTAATAAAATATTTACCGGCTATCTCGAAAAAGTATGAAAAATTCTTAATATTTCAAACGCATTGTGGAGTCAGAATTGGAAAATAAGAGGAATTTTATATTTTTCCCAAAATAAATTTCTCCGCGTTACTTTCCGGGTAAAATCATTTTGTGCTCGGTAAATACTAATTTTTTACTCCTAGGTATAATAGATTTCATTGAAAGAAACTTATTTCAAGAACTTTCATTTAAATTTACATGTCAGTACGTTTTAATAATAATTATAAGAATGTTAATAGAAGAGCGAGGACAAATGTAACGTGAAATTACATGACCAGTATGATTTTTTACCGTCATTTAATTTTGCCTGCGGCTGCCGATATTCTCGATTATACGGATGATTGCGATATTTACAGTGAGGGATGCGTAGCTATTTCGCGCTCTATACGTACATTGAATCCCGTGCAGCGAGATCTATAAATTGACGCCGTTACAGACGTTACGTATACATATGTGGAAGCATGAATATTCACACCACGAAAGATATACCGGGGCCTGAACGCGGTGAATATCGATATTCAAGATTACCTAACCGCGAGCGAGGCGTGAAATATTTAGGTCTACGTGCCGAAATGTTCTAAAAACCGCGATAGTATGTATATATGCGGCGCATTTGCATGACACGTTTATATTTCGTCAGTGGCTTCGACAGATCTCAAAGCTTTCCCGGCATCAAAAGCGGGTGGACGCAAGTACAATTTACACGGGAGAATTATAAAATTTCAAAGTTTGAAAGGCGTAGGAATATATTCGTAACCTCGCGCGCACATTCACAAAACGTACTGGAATATGTATAACTTTCATATTTAATTACATGAATCATAAATATACATAGATATGGATTTTATATTTGATAGAATAGAATAAAATTACACATTCAAAATAACATGTAAAAATATTATTCTATGCTATAAAATCCTCTAAAAGTTCTTTGTTATTCAAAGGAAATTCTAATTTAAACTTGATTGGCTTTATTTGGCAAGAAATACGTTTCTAGAATGTCGGAGTCGTTTTTACAAAATCGTCGAGTGATTGTCCAGTCAATTACGACGAATTATATTTTCTTTTACACTCCACAAATATCACTAATACCGCAAAGTCCGCGACGAAACGGAATCGTATTATTACTCGGATAACTCATTCATTATAATTAATCATGTCACAGCCGATCAATATATTGCTTTATCGGCTCCGTTACACGGTCTGTTTCATAATATTACTTAGAGTTTTTGTGCCTGTAAAAGTGAACCGTAAACGCAAAAATGCAAAAATATCAAGATCGTTTAGTTTCAACTTACAGATGAAATCACAAATCGTCCGACAAATTGCCACGATAAGGCCGTTAAATTTTCGCAAAGCTTGCAAATTACCATCGTAATCGTCATAATCTCAGCAACGATGAAAGAAAAATTTAAAACACTTAAGGCATTTATGAAGCTTGATTTATTACCCGGGAAATAACCGATAAAAATCTCAAAAAGTAATAAATTCAATTAACAGCAATACCAGTAATAGCGATCATTCAACGATCTTAAATTTCTTTTCGGATTAGCTTAAATTGCTAAAATCGTTCAATTTGTAAACGTTGATTACGTTGAGGTACATTTCATTGATTCGTGCGAAAAGCCAAGCGATCAATTTTGATCAGACGTACGGAACATAGCGCCACCGCTATTTGTTCTCCGCCGCTACTTTCCGCCGTGTATCGAATAGCACCATTATTTCCGAGAATATTTTACGAAACGGTACGTCGCGAAGTAGAACTGATCGAGTTTCGATTAAATTCTCGACGATGAAAGGACAACGCGGAAACTGGCGACGACGGAACGCGCTTTCTCTCTCCCCCCCCCCCCCTCTCTCTCTCTTTCTCTCTCTTTCTTTCTTTCTGTCTGAAAGTTCGATTTTCCTCTCGCTGGAAAAATGGAAACGCAGACCCACGGCAGACATTTCAATGCAAATAAGAATACTAAATGAAGCTTGCTATTCAGCTGCCTAACATTATAGTGGCTATAAAATATATTCCTATATAACACGAAATTGGCTCATTTATTATATTCTTATCTCTCCAATTATTCTCGTACATCTAAATAAATTTCGATCAAATATTTTACCTAAATAACTAATCAATTCAACTTGAATAGTTACACGAAGGAACTGTATTGCTTTAAGATTATCGAGTTGAAAATGTGATTGACAATGGTAAAAATAGAACTGAAGAATTATCTCGAGTTACTTGTGAAAAAAAACTAATTTCCATAAGCATCAAATTCCTTAATTAAATATATAGTGCACAATATACATATAACAAAACATAACGTATTCAAATTAAAGGTAACTAACGTGACATCTCATATTAAATTAAAGGTATAAAATATAATATTTCTCATTTATTTCTTAATTTACTTATTACTTTCAAATCGTGAAGAAGATCAAAATAATTAAAAACATATCTAACAATTTGAGATCTCGATACTGATTATTATGTCTAGTTTATTATAATTATTGTGCACTGTAAACCATTTAATTTTTTCTTTGTAAAAGAATACCTCTTTTGTATTCATTTATCACGAGTTTAGTTTCACAAGTATTAATTAATATGTTTCGGTCCTTTGATATTAACGCAGTTTAATCAAACCGGAAACGGAAATATTACAATACACTTTCTATATAAATTCATAATTATAACGCCATGAATAACTTCTATACAATATGACTTTAGTGAGTCAATTCGTAATGAAATTAAATGTAGTCTAACAAAGCTACGTTTTGATATAATAGGCAATATGTCGTATCGTTTCCGACAATAGAGTGGACAGTATGGTATAAATTGTATTTCAAAATCAATATTCGCATAATGCCAATGCGTCACTGCATTTTAGTTAAATTAGAATTCCGTGGCAGTATGTATACCTAATAAATATGTTAGTATAAATAAATCCAATCATTGGAACATTGTTACAAACGCGACAATATAATATGGAGATACAAATAGATAATTGGCATATTATGCGCTATCACTAATCAAACAGATGCATAATTCGCGCCGTTAAAGAAGCTCTTCATCAAGATTCAAACCTGATATAACATAAACAGACGGGTTTTGCAAAAATCACTTTGAGGAAAATGACGCTATAATTGTGAGATACGCAGCCGCCAATGAAAATACGAGAAATACGTGATTCCGCGAGCGAAATGATATTTCGGCAGTGCCGGGTATCGTCAGTCGGTGCTTTAACTTTTGTCAGAGCGGGGGGGAGGGATCGTATAAATAATGCCGATACAAATAAATGTTTGCAATGAAAGCAGAGAGACGTTCGTGGACTCCGGTTCGTTACTCGCTCGCCCCGCCGTGCCGCGCCGTTTTTCCGCTGACAAAGTAAACTTGGTGCATTTTGAAACGCAAAACAACCCGAGAATCGAAGTCTGAATGCTAGTCTGTTGCGTGCAGCAGTTTCACCGCGGCCAGCAGAAACTGTATTTATCTGGCCGACCGCAACAACCGGCATTATTAATGCTTTCGTATCGACCACAGGCTACAAATTCAACCGCGGATTATAGACACGTTGGAAACGTGCGCGAAATTCGCAGGAATACGCCGAAAGAAGTCTTTGTATATTCGACAATGTGGATGCGCTACACTTCTTCGGGATAAAATCTCGAGTTTTCACAAACATAAGAGCCAGATATACAGGGTGTCCTGAAATTCGCGAATCAAAATACCATAGCAAGAATGTCGTTGAAAAAATAAATTAAAAAGTTATTTGCCATTTTTCGTTCCGAGCACTAGTTTTTTTAGATAAAAAGGTTCAAAACAGACCAATCATACATTACGGTTGAACGGAAACCTGTCCGTGAGTCGCGCGTCGATAGTGTT